TCATCCAAAATCTCCAGAATTCACTCCTTGAATGTACCAAAGATCATAGGATTCTGCTCAAGAACGCAACGCGTAATCGCAGACGAAATGAACTCCCCCGTCTGTTCATCGAACAGCCCGGCTCCAGAACCTGAGCCCAACACCAGAACTGCCAACAGGTCTGCCTCGCAGAGTCACCATACTGAAAATAGACCATGTAAACCATCAGAATATATCAAGGCATCAAAATCTCTACAAGCTTCCTCGTTTCATCGCAGCTCTCCTTGATTAGAGGTCGGATCCTTTACTTCCATTAGTGCGGTGTAACATTCCGTTAAAAATAAATAGATAAAAAAATAAGTAAATAAATAAATAATAATAATTATAAATAAATAAAAATAAATGAATAAATAATAAGCCCTAAAGCCTCGAGATGTCTTTTATATTTTATTTTATTTTAGCCCTAAATCGGTAATAATTTATCAGTGTTAGCATGAAGGAGTTAAATGTTATAATTTCCAGAAGTTGGGTCTATATTGTAACATTAGGACTTAAGTTGTAATGAAATCCGTGTAGCAAGGGCTGTTTGGTAATTATTTGATTTAATTTGAAAAGGATTTGTGGAGTCAGGGGCTAATCTTGGTCAAATGGAATGAAGTTTAAAATGGAGACGGGGTTTAAACTCGTCACCATCCGTCCATTTCCCCTCGTTGCATACACCAAACCCTAACACGACAACCACAACACGGCAGTCGCCAGTGCTACTCCGACTGCCCCTCGCCTTTTTCCTGTCCCACAAAAGCTAACTACCACTGCCACCACTCGTATGGCCCTCCCATCCGCTACTCTGGTCATCGTACCACCCCCGAAGAGGGCTGTTGTGAATGCATTTGTTTATGTGTTTCACGTGTGTGTTTGTTTGTTTCAGTGTTGATGGCCGTGGCAGGCGTGTTGTTGGTCGGAAAATCGAGTTAAAGACCACCATGGCAGCCAACCATGGTGGTTGCCTCCCGTATTTCTCTTTCTGCCACCATCAGCCACCGTGAGTGGTGGCTGTGTGTGTATGTGTGAAATGGTGTTTATGTGTGTGTTTATTTTAGTTGAATGTTGTTTTGGGTGTTGCTTGACCGGAAATTGAAGAAAAACCACCACCATCACATGCCGTCGTTCTACCACCACCAGCTGCCACTTTGGATGGCTGTGTGTATATGTGTGTGTGTTTGGACATTTGTTTGAAATGTTTTTTTTTACTTTTTTGGCCTAAAATCATAACCACCACCACCGTGAACCACCGTTGACCACCACCGCCCGGGGTGTTAGTGGGTGGTGCCCAACTTATTAAACTCTAATTAACCTAAAAGCCTAACCTGGATCCTAATTAGCTAGTATTTGGGTTGGAAACCCTAATTAGGGTTTAGAAAACCCTAATGTCATGAAACCCTAATTTAGGAGTTGGTCGAGACCCGCATTGAAACAATTAATTAAACTTAAAATAATACTTAATAATGCCCATACAATTAACTTAATGCAATATTGGGCTTAATAGATTAAGTCCTTACAGGTTTAAGTGTAGAACACTAACCCTAGTTATCATTTTATGTGAAAACCCCTAGAATCGAGAAGCTCTATTTTGGACAATAATCGGGCGCGTATTTGGATTATTGATTGAGTTATTATTTCACCTGAAAATTACTAAGTCAAAAATTAATCAGTCATACCCTTAAGTGATTAAGTCCTTAACAGGTTAAGTGTTCTTACTTAACCCTAATCGTCATTTTTTGTGAAACCCTAATCGTCATTTCATGTGAGGTGGTCACTGTTGCAAGTTACTATGACCTGTGATCATGTATTGACTCAAGTATCTTCTTGTAGGTGTTTGGAAGTTAGTTGATGCTGGTAGAGTCCTTCATAGCTACAGTGGTCATCTGCACGCATATCGAGGTGAGTTTCGCCTCACTGTACCTGTGGGTCGAAGGCACCAATTCCGGCCCACTTGTTTTAGTTATCTGTTAGTAAAGGGATGCCCTAATGACTGTATATAGTCAAGTAGGATATACTAAGGACTCTTGATCTAAGCTCTCTTACCTGTTCCTTGTTTGGTTGTGGTTCTATAGTAGGATCACCTGTCCGGGTGACTATCTCACCTCTGAGTATGTACAACCATGCATTCCTAGGATTGTTGATATTGTTGGGTTTGAGTTCAAAAATAGTTTCATAAACAAGAAAAATATGGCAACGGAAGACTTTAATATTTGAAATAACATAAACAATTTATACCCACCAAGGATCTTCTTGCAAGTTATAGAAAGATTTAAACACCAACCAAAGAAGAGGTGAGGAAATAACAACGTTTGTAGTTCTTTGGGTCCTCTTGGGAGGCTTGGAAGTTGATGAAGAATGTAGAACCTTTGAGACACCAACAATGACTCAACTTGATGTAGATGCTAGTCCAAAACTCTTAAACACTTAAGCTGGAAGTTCATAACCAATATGAACTTCAAGAGAGCAAAAGATATGCAAGTAATCTTCCCAGTTGGCTTGTTTACAAACTTCTTGAAGTTTGGATTGAACTTGGTCAGGAGTGCCAAGCATTCTTCATACTCCTTTTCCTCATTGATTTGAGGAGGTTCCATTGTGGTCCAATAATATATTGATGATTAGCCATGTACCCATTTGCGATCTGAAGAGGTTGTTGAGTTGGCATGTAAGGATTCTGGTTGTACTGTTGAGCCATACTCGAACTTTGATAAGGATATGCTCCATATCCTTGGTTGGAAAACTTATCAGCAAAGTGGTATAGGATTGGATTGTGATGTGCAATAAAGTTTTGAGAATGATTTGCCAAGGGTGTTGAATTTCCCAAGGCAAGTCCTTGATTATCAAAGGAAGTTACTTGAGCTAGCTTGTTGACTTTTGGCTCATGTTGTTGCAGTTCAGCATACAGATCAAACAAAGACATGGTGTCTAGATTGGTTGTAGTTTGCAGTATAATCATATGCACTTTATCCCATTTTGGAGATAGGCTGTTCAAGAATTTCAGATTGAAATCTTCTTGCGATCTTTCTCCTTTGAGTTTCTTCACCCTGTTGACAACAATGTTGTACCTAGAATATGCATCAAAGAGAGTTTCATGAGGTAACATCTTGAAGTTGTCCATGTCTGTCAATGAAGCTTTCTTCCTATTTGGAAGAATCTTATCAGTTCCCTCAAATTGTTTCTTGTGTGCCTTCCAGACGTTGAAGGGTGAACTCTTGTCTTCATAAGGAAGTTGCACATAGATGTCATGAGGAATTGCAGATAAGAGTTCTTGCATTGCCTTAGCCTCAAACTTCTTGATTTTCCTGTCACGAAGTTAAGCAGTAGAGGAAACAGATCTAGAGATAAATTTGGAGGTTTCAGGAGAGACATCGGCTTCAGGAACTCAGATGTCCTTCAAAAATTCTGGAGTATGTTTCCAAGTGGAGATGAAGGTCCATATGTCAGAATCATGACCTTCCAAGTAGTACTTGATGCGATCTGCCCATGAAGTGTATTTACTAGGCACAAGGATAGGTGCACGATTTCCTTCTCCCAGACTGTTTGCAACTGAAACTGAATAGAGAACATTTTGGTTTTGATTGACACTTTCCATTGATAACATGTGATACTAGTTTGAAACTTGAAAAAGAAATGTTTTTGTGAAAAGTTTTCTAAGTCTCAAAGTCGATCACTCGAGCTCTGATACCATTTAAAGAAATGAGAAGAATTCAGTAAACCTAGACTAGAATAGTCTAAGTGTTGAAAATACTGAAACAGAGTTTCCGAATCGTCAAGTGGCAAGTAGTGCGGAAAATAAAGAATTGTGAATCAATCAAATTAATAGAAAAATGTTTTTTATACTTAAGATCAATGATTCAAATGTGTCTCATATTCTTGAAAATTCAATTACAAGTGTTTAAATGTAAAACACACTAAAACTCTCAAGTGGCTCTCTAAAGACTAGTCTAAGCAGCAATTATGCAGAAATTAGCAGGAATGATCAGAAAAGAGCAAATTTATAGTGGTTCCCAAGGGGCTTGTTTATAGGCTTTGGAAAATTCCATGACAAGGCTTGACCAATCAGGTGTTGACACGTCATCATGACTTAGTCATCAGTTGACACCTTTGCCCTACTTAACGGAGAATGGATGGAATATTCCAATTCCGTTAGTATTCCGTTAGGGTTCCATCCAAATTATGAGTCTTCATAATTCTTGAGCCTTCTTGATCAACATAGAAAATGTGATGAGAAACATGAGCATCATGTTGCTCAATTGTCTTCTTAGATGTCATCAACTTCCAGAAGTGTTGTTGACCAAGTTGAGTTGTTTCTTGAACATTGAAATGTGTCTTGGACTTGAAGATGTACAACTTCTTGGTCAAGATGGACCATGGACGAAATTCATGTGCCTTTGAGCATTTGGACGTGCCTTCATTGTACATGATGAGCCATCAATGTGATCATGTTGATCCATTGACTTGAGTTGAGCCACCAAATATTCATGTTGATCCATCAACATCTTGTTGAGCCATAGAGTTGTGGATGAGCCAACAATGTTTCTAATGAACCATCAATATTCCAAATGATTCACCAATATTTTGATGATACATATATGATCTTAGATGTGCCATCTGAGATCATGATGATCCAACTTTCTTTCTTCAAGTGCTCAATGTCAATAGCAAATGCTCCATGTAAGCTTCAAGTGTTCCATCATATGATTCTTCAAACACTTGTTAAATCTTCAGTATCTTTCCAACCTAAAACATTATGATAATGTTTGTTAGAGAGATATATAAAAGGACTCAACTTATTTCAAGTGACAATCACATATAAATATTTTCCAACAGTTTCCCCCTATGTGATGGTTAATGAAATAAGGAGTACAAATAAAGGAGAAATAAAAGTAATAACATGCAAGATGAATTTTAACAATAAGATAAATTACTAGTAGCAAAAACATCATTCACATGTTTGGAAAAACAAAACAAAAACACATAATCTAACCTTTGTTTCTCAAGTTTATTAACCATTGCGGAAAACTTAAAAACCATGTAAGTTCTTCAATGATCTTCACTCTCAGCGGCTCATCTTGATCTCTTGTTCTCTTCAATAGACCAATGATGCCTTTAATGAATTCAGAAGAGAGTATATGTTTTTGACAGATTCTCATGAATTTCAGTCGACCTTTAGAAGAGAATACAACACCTTTGTGTGGTTTCTTTAGCATGTTCCTAGCTGTCTCATTTTCCATATTTAGATCTAAATTTGGTTCCTCGGCTTCCTTTTCTCCTAGCTGTCTAATCTCCCAGTCAACAATGAAATCAATAACCATGTCGAGCACATATTGCCTTAGGCATTGTAGGACATCTGCATAAGCTTTATCTGTACTCGCCCTTTATTTCAACCAAATGATCAGTGATCTGATATCAGCTTGGTTTATTTTAGGGAATTCAGCTTCAGAAAACATGAATTCAGAGTTGTCTGTCGTTTTTCCTTAAAAGAATGCATATGGCATCTTTCTAAATTTTCGTATGTCAATTTTGCTAATTGAAGCAGTCTTGAACTTTGACCATACAGAGACAAATTGAATTGATTTTTTCAGGAAGAATCTTTTCTTCACCTCTTCAATGTCTATATCAACCTCAACTGGATAAATTGCACTTGGCCATAAATTGAACTTCATACCATTCGGGGGTGTAGGAATATCCTATTTTTCGAATTTGTGGGCTTGATGACCTTGACCTTTTGATAGGAATCTCTATCAGGGTTAGAGAAGATGGTTCTTTTAGGTGATGACACTCTAAATTGTTCATCATGCCCTGTACTCCTTTCTTCAGGCGAGATCTCTGAAGATTTCTTTTTGAGAAGCATCTCTTGTTTCGACTTTAATTCCTTAGCCTTCAGTTGCTTAGCTAATTCTTCATCTATCTCCATTTGAGATTCTTTAGCTAATTCCTTCTTAGACTTGAAGACAATCTTCTGTTTTCCCTTATCCTTGGGATCAATTTAAGGAAGCTTTGAATGAGTGATTGGTTCTGATAAGGTGACAGGTTTGGAGAAGTAAACATCTTTCCTTTTGGGAACTTTTAGAGATGGATCGTTGATCCCTTGTCGTCGAACGAGTTCCTTTTCTTTCTCATCCATCTTTGCTCTGTTCTGTTGAGACTTTAATCATGCATCAACAACCATTTTGTCAAGTGACTCTATTTTCTCATGTCTCTTTTTCTCAAACTCATTTGGTGAGTCTGGAATTTGGTGTATGATAGGAGACTGACTTGATCTGGTCTTTTTTACCTTTTCCCCCTCTGGTTCAGGTGTCCTGTCATTTGAACCAGATGGCTTTGCTAAGATCAAGTCAAGTTTGGAATCAGTCGATGCAACCTTTTGTTGAATAGCACATAGATCAGAAGAGGAAGATTGTGTCTTGATAGCCTTGACTTCATCGACTAGCAACTGAACAGTCTTCTGAAGGGAATATATGTCACCTGATGAGCTATTGTCTTTCTCAGAATTGGATTTTGATAGATTTGCTATGTCAGATCTTAACAAATCCAATTGATGTTGAACTTTCTCACTAAATGCTTGAAAGGGAGAGGTGGAGGATGACGTGGAAGCTTTAGATAGTTCAGCAATGGACTTCTCGAGAGTGGAGATATATCCGTCTTGAGCAGTAACATGATTCTGCCTATGATCCAATTTGGCTTCATAGACGAACTCTAGATTGGATAAGGCCTAAATAAAGTCATCTATCTTCTAATTCATCAGAGAGAGACAATCTTTAATAGTGTTGTGAATTTTCTGATCTAGAGTTTCGATCCTTCGCATGTTGCGAGCAACTTGTCCTTTGATATAAGCAGCTGTGCCTTCAAAATATTCAATAGTGACTTGAAGTGTTTTGACCTATGCTTTTGTTGTCTCATTAAGTATACACATATTTTCTTCCATACATTCAAGATATTCTTGAAAGTTCTGCAGATATTAATAGTTAGAAGATGTGTGAAAGTGAATCTTTGCAATACCATTAGCTACCATTTTGGAAGTAAGTCTGATGCGCTCAGGCTCTGGTTCTGTGGTATTGGATTCATCTGTTTCTTTAGGAGTACCGTCGTCCTGAAGAGGATCTTGTTGAAAGGAGGAGAGATTTGGTTCTTGAACATCATCCTTTTCTTGAGACTCTTTTGTAGTTGAAGGAGAGTAGTCATCAAGATAAATGCTGAAAGTCCTGGTAGATGCGTTGGAGTAAAGGACAATGGACATGTCATTTGTCTCATCATCAACTATCAGTCCTTCACTGGAAGGAATATCTACCGTTTGTATTGGAGCATCCTCATCGTGATTATCTTGTACAGGAGAGCTTTGAGGAAAAGTTGCAGGTTAAGATTGCTTATCATCATCTTGGTCATCGTCCTCAAGTGAGTCATAATCCAAGGGGACACGATAGCTTGGACTTTCTAGAACAGGCTGAAGGCGTGATGGTGAAACTGGAGATGAAGAGGATGGTTCATCATAATCATATGGAGCTTAAAACAAGGAATCTAAGAAAGAGAATTGCTTAGAGGTTGTACCAGATTTAGGAAGAGATGTGGGTTCCTCTAAATGTGGTCCAAGATTATCATCAGAGATGGCTACAGATGAGATAGGAGGCGGTTGATTTGATTTTGATTTCTTTTTCTTCTTTGCCGACTTCTTGGATGCATGATCAGAATGCTTCCTCTTCTTTTTCGTCCAGCTTTGTAAGTATAGAATCTGGAAGGATGACTGGATGTGAAGATTCAGATTCAGACGTCGTACGAATCCGATATGGTGTCATACACAAGAAATGTGGCTGTGGGCCTTCTGGTGTCCATCTTGGTGCAAGATTACTATTATGGATGGCATTATGAATAATGATAGACTACCAGCGAGGATGATGAAAAAAAAATTATTCTTTGAGGCAGGGAGAAAATTGAGGAAATCTTCCCAAAGAATAGACGCGTAGTCAACATTGATGTCATAGAAGAGCCCATACATGAGAATCCAAAGGTCTTTTTTACCGCGACTGCGTCCACCAACTGATCCAAAGAGACATCGAGTGAGGACGGAACTGAGAAAGTGCCATGGTGTGGGAAGACAAGATTTCCGAATTCTTGAAAGGCATGGTTCTTTTTTGCCTTCAAATTTGTACCCCATTTCCTTGAACATTGTCAACAATTGAGCAGAAGATGGTGTGATAAATGTCTGAGGTTGATGAGAAATATCGCTTAGACCTAAACTGACTGTGAATTCTTCTTTAGTCAGAACTAAGGTAGCTTAAAAAAGATCAAATTCAACTTCAAGTTGTTTTGACCTTGCACTTGTGGAGATGACTGCTGATGAAAAGACTTCTGAGATAAGAGATTGTGGAGTTAGAGAAGTAGAAATGAGTGCATATGCCAATGGGCACTTTTTCAAATATTCAACTATAACACCAAATTCTTTGGGTTGTTCCTGAGTGTTAAGAAGTGCGGTATATTTGGATGCAACCATTTCAATTTTAGGTGATGATGAGTATGTCTCAGTTGAAGGTCCAGTTGCATGAGATTGTGAAGCCTTATGAGGAGACTTTGCTATAGAAGTCTGTCCATATTCTTTGGAAGCCATGTCTTGAGAGAATAGAAGAAGAACAAAAAGTGGATTGAAGTGTTAGTTAAAGAGATATAGCTAGAGAGCAGTAGCATATAATCTTAACTAAATTCCAAAAAAAGGGGGGAGGGGGGAAGAAAAAAAATGTGTGAATTTGCATTAACTAAACAAGGTTGTGACTTGAGTAGTATTGTTGATTCAACTATGGACAAGTGCAACCTGCAAATTCATTTTCACTAGGTATAGGCCAGAAAGGAAGTTACATGACAAGTTGGAATAAAAAAGAAAGAACTAGATGTCATATAAAACAACAACACAAAAATTGATGTTACTAAATCATAGAAAAAGTACAAGGATCAAGTAAAATTGCTAAGTCATGACCTATGATGACTATGTCATATCAGATAAAAATGTCTTTAGAAACTAACAGAAAATTAGGTATCATAGTGACAACAGTTGACAACTATTTATGTAAATCCAAGAACAAGTAGAGTTGTGAATGGATTTAGATAGAGTTGAAAACGAAAGAAAAGAATATGTTGATCATAAAAGAACATATAAAGACATGAAATTGAAGATATGCACCAATAAGTACAATGCTCACAGGAAAGATTTGATCAAAGGATCAACACTAAATAACCTAAGCATGGTATGTGAAGATGAATTAATGATAAAAAAGAAATAAAAAATGAAATAAATGAAATAAACAAAAAAAATTCTCACCCAATATGATTGCAACAAGAAGAGGTGTTCACTTAAAAGAAGTGATAGGCCAATACTAGGGGAACCTGACCATAGGAACATATGTATAGACATGAATCATGAACTAATGAGGGTAACCTTATGATATGAGGGTATGTGAACAAGCAAGAGAGATGTTACTTACCAGTTGAATCAATGAGCAACAGAAATATAAGGCAACACAAATGACACATGAGATATTCAAATCTATGTTATGTCAAGAGAAAACAAAACTGTAGAAAGTGTACACCATGATCATCATAGAGTGTAAAGAAGAAGAATGAACACTTACCTAGGGTGATCAAGGAATGTGATGCTCAACATAAAATGATGATGGACCACGTGATGATAAACACTAAACACATGATGATTCAATAATCAATGTTAAGTTGACTATGATGTACAAAAAGAAAGAAAATACACATGAAACATATGATAATGCTCATGAGGTTAACTTGTGACAAGTAGGTTTTCACAAAATAATTGTGATGCTTACCTGGATTTTGGAGATGATCCACATAAGAGAGGTTGAATGATGATTCTCCAACAAGTAGTTGATGATGCCCCAAAGGAAAAGAAAACTAGGGTTTGTACAAAACAAAAAAAAATGATCTAGGGTTAAAAAACATGAATTTGGGTTTAAAAAAAGATGATGCTCACCTAAGGTTTGTGAGTGGCTCAAGAATTGATGATGAGATCAATTGATGTTGCTCCAAGACTTTGATGATCACTAGGGTTTCAAAACTTGAGTGTGGAGCAAGTAGGGTTTCGAAACTTGATTCTTGCTTGATGATCACAAAGGAATGATGATGGCTCAAGAAGTGATCACGATATCACTTGGTGATCACAAAGATCTTGTTGATGATCAAGTGATGATTACGAAGATGCTGTTGCACACGATGGTTGGTGAGAAAGTGATGATCACGAAGAGGGTATGGCTCAAGAGTGTGACTTGACACAAGGATGTTGCTCATTCAAGAGGATGATGAGGTATTAGGGTTTTGGTGCAAGAGGGTATTGAGGTATTAGGGTTTCTAGATGGCTTAAGTTGTTGATGTTTATTAGGTTTGGCGCAAGTTGGAGATGATCACAAGTTAGGGTTTGACGCAAGATAGTTTATGAGGAAATAAAGGCTGGCTCAAGAAGGATTGAGAGTTGCGCCAAGGGAAGAGGTTGCTCATGAAAGAAGTGCTCACGAGAAGATGTTGAAGGCGCAAGAAATATATAGGACATGACTAGGGTTTTGAGGTTTGAGTGATGCACAAGGAACCAAGGTCAAGAGTATGTCTCAAGAAGAAAAAGAAAGTGACGCAAGAGGGTATCCTTGGTTTGCTTGATCATGAAGAGAAGTGTGGAACAAGAAGAGAAGTGTGGCTCAAGAAAAAAAAAGAAAATGGAGCAAGAGGGTAGTCTCGGTTTTACTTGATGATCACGAAGAAAGAGAGGTTGAGCAAGAGAGGTTTGTGGCATACAAAGAGAAGTTTGGCTCAAGAGGAGGAAAAAAACGTGGAGCAAGTGGGAGTGGAAGGCAAGAATTTCTTGAGGCGCAAGTTGTTGACGGTCCAAGAGGTGAACACTAAGTCACTTGTTGATCACAATTAGGGTTTAAAAAAAACTTATGGCTCAAGAAGGAATTTCAAAATTTGGGTTATTGAGCTAAATTAGGGTTTGAAAAATCTTGTTGCTCAAGTGATGAATTCGAAAATTAGGTGGTTGAGCCAAAGTAGGGTTTGCAAAAAAAAGGCTTATGGCTCAAGAGGGAATTTCGAAATATGGTTGTTGAGACAAATTAGGGTTTGCAACAAAAAAGGCTTGTGGCTCAAGAGGTGAGATTCAAAATTTGGTTGTTGAGCCAAATTAGGGTTTGCAACAAAAAAGGCTTGTGGCTCAAGAGGAATTTTGAAAAATAGTTGTTGATCCAAATTAGGGTTTGCAACAAAAAAGGCTTGTGGCTCAAGAGGTGAGATTCAAAATTTGGTTGTTGAGCCACATTAGGGTTTTGCAAAAAGATGACTTCTTGAGTCAAATTCGTTGTTGTGCCAAGGCTTCTTGTTGCTCACAGAATGAAGTTGCATGTTGCTTACGTGACTGTTGCTCACAAAGCCTTGTTGCTCATGAAGACTTGTTGCTCATGAAGCCTTGTTGCTCATGAAAACTTTTTGCTCATGAAGACTTGTTGCTCCAAACGAGTATGATAGTAAGAATTTGTGAGAGAGTGAAAAAGCAAGAATGAGAAGTAGAAGTGAGGTATTTATAGGTGAAGCTTTCTAGGGTTTCTCAATGGGCCGAAATAGGCTTGCAAGGGCCAACTTATGGGCCCAGAAGGCTTGGATGGTACTCAAGTATAAATAGGAGAATGTCAACTTGAGTCACGAGCGCGAGAATGATACTTTGAGAATCAAGAAAGAAAAGGTGGAGCATGCATGGATGTTATCTTTGAGACGTGCATGGAACCTAAGGAATGACCTACTTGAAACGTGCTTGACCTACTTGACACAAACATGGCTCATTAAAAACGTGTATGGCCTATTCAAAACGTACATGGCACATTTATTATGCTCTATGTGGATTTGATGAGCCACATAGGCGTGATGCATCAAGTGGCTTAAGATGCTTCAAATTGTTGATCATGTGCCAATGTTATTGATCATGCTCCATTGTTGTTGAATATGGTCCAATGTTTTTGAACATGCTCCAAGTGACTGATGATGCTCCAAGCTGGTCCAAATGATCAATATCCTTCAAGTTGGTGAAATTTTTCCAAGATACTTCCAGTTGATCGAGATGATGAAGATGTTCAAGATGATCAAGTTGATGAAGATGGTCCAACATGCCTCAAGATGATCAAGATGAATGAAGATGGTCCAACATGCCTCAAGATGATCAAGATGAATGAAGATGCTTCATTCATTCGTCCAGTTGGTCCAAGGAGGAGGAGATGGTCTAAGATTGTCCAAGTTGGATGTTGTTGCTCCAAATGTGTTCCATGTACCTGAAGTTGTTCCATGTTGGTCCAAGAGCACGAAGTTTCTCCAAGATGGTTCTTTAAAGCTTTTAATCTTGACCTTCTTACCAATATACAAGAATTCTCCATAAACCAAGACAAGCACATATGGTTTTCTTGAAGAGGATTATCCATTGTCATAAGATGCTCCACGTGGCTAAGGATGTTCCATGATCAAGTATGTGATATTCTCTATCGAACTTAGTTGCTTTACTTAGATTCTATGGCATGAGTTAAACAGAAAGTATAAAAGCGCAAACACTGAATAATCTAACTTTGAAAGTGATGTGTGCGCATATAGATAGAGAATCTGAGAAGAGAATAGTAAGATACATTGAAGTGTGTGCATGTGAAAACAAGAACTTTAAGGCAACACTAGTTGACTGATTTAGAGGCATTAAGGATTATCTTGTTGTTACTTACAGATTTTTCAAGCAGCTAAATTATGTGTATGATTCTTCACTTCGCGTTGTAAAGAATTCCCTTGTTGATTATTATGTTTTGAATTCCTTCACATCACACAGAATAACCGGATTTGTACTCACCAATTATGTCTCACCGCAATGCGTATATTTGTGTCTAAGGCCTAGTTACTTCCCAAGCCCTAAATACTGACAATCATCATAAACGTTCCCCACTTATTTTGAACAACATTCATTTTTGGCATTCCTACCACCTATACCTTTTTATTTACTCCTTTTGTTTCAAAAGGTATCGTCAAATTCCAAGTGACACGACTTTCATTTTTGGCCTGGAAATAATATACATGTTTCAAGAGACATCCATGCAAACCCTAATGCCCATGACCTTTCATATTACTTAGGCTCCATGGGTTAAACCTCCATAGACTATCCATGGACTACCATATTGGTTTAGCCCATCCTAAATAACAATTGGCCCACACTATAAGAATCATTGATTTACCAAATCAATCCCCATATATTTAATTAGTCTCTTTTGATCACATAGATAATTCCAAATTAAATCTTGATCAATAATAATTAAATAATATGATTTCATATTAATATATTAGAACTTATAATATATTAATAAATCATAAGTAACTTCTTACTCAAGTATCCATCCTATCAAATTGTCCTGGTAATATGCAACCCGAAATAGACCATGCTACTCTCGGGTCAAGTACATACCAATTTTAGTTATGGGATTAGACACCTAATCCAACAGTCTCCCACTTGGATAAATCTAATAACTATTATTGCAAGTACGACTCCAAAATCCCGACTAGCAATCGTAGCTCTTAAAAGCCGCT